TTCGCCACAATGAACGATATCGCTGAAAAGCTCAAAAATCCCTCTCACTTTTTCTTCTCACCTGCATTGATTACCATTTATGATCTGAACGAATTTGACTTGGAAGACATGCTTCACTATCTGGCATACTCTGGGAGGACCTTTGGTTTGGTAGATCTTCTGTATATCTCTAAAAGGTTGAGAGGTATCATTTATTTTTATGTCAGCTCATAAGCCGATCTTGCAGCAATGGATCTATTTTGCAAGGAAATTCAAAAAGACATCTTTACTGAGGCTATTGAGACGTATATAATCGCAGCTCAAAGGTGGCACCAAGTACGATTTCTGAACGGAAATTGAGTCTCAGACTATGTGCAAAGGACTCCAAACAACCCTTCAACCTGGATCACTTTAATTTGCCTTTGTTGGACTCGCGGTTTATGTACATTGACCCCAAAATTAATTGCAATGCACAGCATTTTTTTAAAAGCAAAAGAGGAATCAATTCAAGCATCCATCTCTATACTCACAGGAACGAGATCGTATTTTCTGACACTCGTCCTGCTAAATAGCTATAAAGAATCTGGGAGACGTGAAATTTCCACTCACAAATGTGTATGAATAGCAAGAAGTCCCAGTCAACACTATCTTCCTACACAATAAAAGAAAAGCCAATATGAGGCTAAGTATGTCCGTATTCCACACTTAATTGGATAGGAGTTGACCATTGAAAGCTCCAAATCGGCCAGTTTTTATGTGCCAATTGGAGGGACAAGCTTACAATGTCCATGCAGTGTGTAGTTTCGAGAATGTTTGAAGGGTTAATATCTCATTTACAAAATTCGTGTCGATGCATAAAGAAAATTCTCGCTGAAATTGAGGATATATGCTGTAGCTTCTGTTTAGGTTTGATATTCTGCCAGAAAAAAAGAGACACAGTGAAAGCGTTTCCTGCAAAACATAGCTGTCGCAATCAAATCAAAGTTCTTTAGATTTGACGTCGCCCTCGGCCACTGATGGATGAAACTCATTTGCACTGTCGATGGTTGAAGAGGAGGATAGCTAAGGCATAAATTTCTACGACGTACGAGCTTAGGAAAGACATTCACATTATCTGGAAATTTGCCAGCCAAATGAATCTTTGATGAGGAATCGCGCGAAATTTCACAAGTCAAGCAATAGGACCGGCCATCAACTGTATCTGGCGACATCAAATCATTTGAATAGCCAATTTATTAAATGCTACCTTTTCAACCAGCTTGCCTAAGATATCTTTTCCAGAAGCCAAGTGATAGATTTCTTGGGGAAATAATTCTTTTTTCGCCTCGGTTTGATTAGAGTTTTTACCGTCAGATAAACCTATTCTGTATAATTTAAGGGTAGGACCAGTCCTAGGGTTAGTGGTAGGTTTATCGTTAGGTTTCGGGTTAAGGGAAGGGTGATGATTAGGGTTCGGATTGAGCTTAGGATTAAGGGTTCGTTTAGTTTTAGGGGTAGGATTGAAAAAAGGTAAAAGGAACCCAAACAAAGAGATGGAACCTCTTTGAAAGGGGGAAGAATCCTAGTTGAGATAAGGGTAATTATGAAAGCACATAGCCAGCAAAAGAAGGACCCAAACGAATCATAAGCTTCCTGAAGACTTTTGGGTAGGATTTTTGGAATAATCATCCAAGGGCTAGGTCCAAATCCAAATGAAAAACAAAAGATAAAGCCGAATGCAGCAGCAGATTTCATACGCGCTATATTTTTCAAGAAACCAATAAAGAGGAGCAATGAAGAGATTGCACATCCAGCTGCGCTAATTACACAGATATATTCCATATCAAAAGCATTGGCTATACGCGCGAGATAATGATCGCGCGTATTCTCTTCGCCTTTTAGAGCCTCTATTGCAACATTTAAAAAAGTTCCAGCGAAATTTGCAACACCCAAAAGCATATAAATATTCGGCAGGTCGCCAAGTATTTCTTCTATGTATGAAAAATATCGGTTAATCAAAGAGAGCTGTTGAAAGATATATAAGGCGATGAAAATTTTCAAGATTTTGATTGCTCTTTCAAAAGCCTTAGCAATGTTAAAGTTTGAGCTAGCTTTGGGCTGAGTGGGGATTGGTATCCTCTTGCTTAGGCTTAGTAGCCTTAGGGTTAGAGGCAGCCTTTTAGGGTTAAAAGTAGCAATCCAATTATGAAACATCGTAAAAAGGAAAACCAAAATTCCTAATGATGCATGTATACGACTAAAGACTCTCCAGGCCAAAATATGGCTATTTAGAAAATACTGTCGCAGGAATCCACCGAAAAGTATTCCTGCTGCAGCTGTTAGTTGATAAAGGATTCTAAACTTTTGGGTTATACACTTAGAATGTAAAGCTAGCGAGTTAGGGTTATAAGAACCATGAGCGAATTTTCCAGTAATCCCAATACCCACTCCAAGAAAAAAACGCCCAATAGCCAAAAGGTTCCAATTGAAAGAAAAAGTGGAAAATAGGTGTCCAATAACGAATAATATTGAACAGAAACAAGTATAAACTTGAATGCTCCATTTAGGGGCAAAAAATATGTCAATCGACGATCCAAACGTTCCGCCTAAATAAAAGGAAGAAACAGCAACAGAACGTTGTACCTCAGAGCCAAATTCGAACCTAAGAAATGATTCATGTGCATGCAAATACCTATCAAGATTTTTCTCGGTGGAATAAAGCCTTTTTGAAGGAAAAACAGGGAAGGTATGAATAGAAAGGAAACCAACAAGAATAAATAATTCGACTTCATTTAAAACATCATTATATTCATCAATATGCAAGGCAAAAGAGACTGAATTTAACAAAGTCGAAAGAACAAAAATAAGCAAATATTTTAACCGGCTAGGATTCATTAAAAATTCGAATGAGTCACCAAGTGATATGTCTTCATTTTAGTGCAAGCTAACACAAAATTATTAAAATTCAAACGGAAAATTTGGGGTTTAGCTCTTTAAAATCCGAATGCAATGTTAGTGTTAGGGTTAAGATTACTATGCTTTGTGTCGTAGCAAATGGAATCGTGGAGGGGACACTTGGTTTCGAGGCTGCATCGGGTGGAAGCTGCAAATGTGGGCAGACTAACGAATCAAAGTGCAGGTGGAATTAATTTGGTAACAAAAACACTAAATTCTGAGGCAAGGCAAATGCGTATTTCAAGGTAACGAGGTACGAAGGTTTTCAAACAGATCATATCGATGCAAGCTTAGAAGATAATCCAAAAGAGTATATTCCCTGCCTAAACCTTTTAATTCACTCCCGACTGTGTTTTAAAAGCTGCGATAAATAGCCAATTTGATGTCATCCCCTTTTGAAAGGACCTGGAGAGTACCGTGTTGGGCCTTGAATCAAGCAAGCGGGCTAGTTAAACGCATAATTAAAAAAATATCCAAGCACGCCACAAAAAGCAATAGTAAAGCTAAGCTGATCGGTATACACATTCATGAATGTGGTGTGGGATACTTGCAGAAGTGCTCCTGACCCTAAAACTCTGCAGCCGCTTTTAATTGTAAAGCTTTTGACTTGGCGCTGGGAAAGTTCAAATGTGAAATTGCGGGGTTTTTGATAAATGTTCCTTTTTTTGGCACAGCCAAAAAGCATACAAAATGAGTGTCTCAGGCTTCTAATACGTGACGAACAAAAAGCRTGATATCTTTCATAATCTTCTTGACGCACACCATTTTGAGACTGGGCCAAAGAAAACATAAAATACGACTGTATGGTGATTTGCCGTTCACAAACAATCTTTGAAAGCTTTCACATCAAGATGCGAGTGCAAAAAGCCAAGCTACAGTTCGAATCGCAACTTGCTTCGAAAAAAACGCATCGATCGCACGTTGTGGCGCGGATGAAAGCTGTTGTTGTGACAGGGGGTTAAAAGCACACCTTCCTTTTTGAGGCGTTGAAGTTGTGCAATGTTTGATTCACAGCAGCGAGTAAAAGATTCCGCATCGTATGAAAGATTTTTACGTTTTTTGAATGTAATAATGTCAAGATAGTCAGAAACATTGTTCATTGGAATGAAAATTGCAAAATTTATCAGTAACAATAGGATGCTTATATCAACAAAGTAAGCCATTTCAAAAAACTGCACTACTACAACTTTTTGTGTAAAAATTTGATGTTTTAGCTGATATTGCGGTTGAAAATATGATATTTACTGATACTATTATTTGTTCAATAGTCAAGCTGGCTAATAAAGTCAATTCATTTGGTTTGCGCGACATGAGTGGGTAGCAACATTTTTTTGTTTCATTTTTCGAATTGTATTAGCCATGTGTGTTGCTTCGTAAAAGCGTTTAAGCCATTCTTTTCTATTGCCAATGAAATGCTTGTTTTTCGCACTTTCACTGCATTTTATGGCCAACAAACAGTAAGTAAAAAAATAAGCAAAAAGGCTGTGGAAAAATTCTTGCATTCCGCTATTTGGCGAGTAAGCTCAACCAACAAAACATTACACAAGATGTTGAGCGTGTGCGCGCCCGCATTTTGATGCCCGATGTCCGTTTTCCGCAAATTTTTATGCGTCCATTGCCGAAATTTGATGCCCGATACCCGTACTTTTTGTCTGTGGCCATGCGAACATCATTCAAAAATATCGCAACATCTTGAATAAAGAACCCGCTTTCAGTTTGATATCATTAGCTAGCAAGACAATAATTTGTCCATTACTCGTACTTTTGATAAAATTTTACGAGTGGTTCACAAGCAAATAAAAATCAAACTGAACGCAAGCAGCTCGCATAAATTAGCGATAACTGCCACTTATCGGGGTTAGTGACTAGGTTATGATCGTTGTCACTCTTTCTGGGGTCTTCAAAGCGCTCAAGTGACATTGAGTAAAACCTTGAATTTTTATTAAATTACTTTTGAAACAACCAAAATCATTTGGGGTTAGGATTAAAACATTTGAAACGACCGTTTCAAATGTTTTATGCTTAATTGTTAGATTTGTTTTGCTTTTTTTGATGAAATTTCCAGCAAAAAAGTCAGATTCAAAGAAAGAAAATCACATTAAAGCTCTTGCAGGATTACGTGGACTTTGCGCCATAGCCGTCATTTATTCGCATATCAAAAGCGACTTGTTTCCAACTTTTAATGTTGTTGGGCACCATGCTGTGATTTTTTTCTTTTTTCAAAGTTCTTTTCTCGTTTCTTATCACCTGCTGATGCAATGGAGAAAGCTTGTTGCTTCTATGGACCTGTCTTCCACATCAAAATTACAAATTCTTACAAAAAAAGTATCTGCACGGATGTGGTGTAATTATGCTTTGAAGAGGTTTTTTAGAATTTATCCGTTGTTTGCACTTGTGCTGATTATGATTTATTTTGGACCGTCATTTTTTGACGATTCATATGGCCAAATTCGGGATACTTCTACCATATTTCAGCATTTACTGCTTTATAAGTGTCGAAGCCTCTTTTGGACTATACCTTTTGAAATAGTTTTCTATTTCGTGGCACCTTTGGTTGTGATAAGCTATGATTTTTTTGTTAGCTTTTTTAGAATTTTTATCAATCGACATTTCAAATCTAAAATGTTTTTTGTTTTTTGTATTCTTATTATCAGTCAGATATTGTTTTGTGCACTAGTTCCCGAGTTTTATTATCCAATTCCAACGTTTTCCCTGGGATGTTTTACTGGGTTTATATGGGCGGAGTATCACTATGCCAAAAAAGGTCTCGAACCACAATATTTGGACATTGTGGACAATGGATCACACAAAAGCCAGACAAAATCCGAACAAAGAAAAAAAGAAACGGGGTTTCGCGTTTTCTTTGATCTTTTTTGTTACGTAAATGCGCTAATTTTTTATTTTTCACTCGATAGTGATTTTCCTACTCGTCGCGCGCCATTTTCATGGTGGAAGCCGAGAATTTTTGACTCTGTTATGTTTTCAAACATCACCATGGCAATCGTTTTTTTTCCGGGCTCTTTTAGTCGGATTTTTGAGTGGAATTTTTTACAATTTGCTGGAAAAATATCTTATTCATTGTATTTAACACATCCTATGAGTCTTTTAATTTCGGAAAGCATATTTTCATGTATTTTTTCGGCCAAAATAGTTGCCCCGGAAGAAATCCATTTCAACAAATCTGTTCTTGGAATTGCTATTTCATTGGCAATTGGTTCATTTTTCCACTTTATTATTGAAAAGCCAGCGATAAATTTTGGCAGTAAAATCATGAAGGCTTAGGGGTTAGGTTTTACCATGCTTCATGTCGTAATAAAGCAAGTATGGTGGGGGGACACTTGCTTTCAAGGCAGCATGTGGTAAAAGCTGCAACTAGGACAGATGGGCGAATCGGAGTGCAGGTGGAATTGAATTAAATTGGATTGAATTGGATTGGATTGGATTAGATTGAATTGGATTGAATTGGATTGAATTAAATTGGATTAAATTCGCAGGTCAGACAAATGCATATTTGGGAGTAGCGAGGCAATAAGGTTTTCAAAAACCTCGTATTGACGCAAGTTCATCAAATGATCCAAAGGAGTGTAGTGATTTTTTTCCTGGATTTTGGCGGCAAAAGCGGAGAATCAAGTTGCCCAGGTGGGTCCAAGCGCAGAAACAGCGGTGTCCAAAACATGTGGTCATTAGCCAATATCAAATAATTCGATCGATTGCTCTCCAACCATGCCATGCTTAAAATGCCGAAAAATGTCGAAAATTTTATTGTCTCGAAAATGGGCCGAAATGATACGGAACGATCGAGAATATCCTGGAAACGCAAGAAAGACATGCACAACGCTCCAAACGGCTCAAAAACCGTAATATGAGTCAATTTGGATCGGTTGAAAAGGGTGCTTTAAATTATATCAAAAGGTCATTTAGTTAATTAGCTGGTTATTTAGGGTTAGTTTAGGCTACTTATTAGCTGATTTAAAGAGCAGGAACAGAAATAAAGTGCATTGCAAACATGCAATAAATTTTTGAACAAAAGAAAGGATGGGAATTCGGATATTTAGCGGCCTACAATTTATATGCGATTATTCAAAAAATTCAGAGAACATCCCAATTATATGGAATTTAGGAAATTTTCAGGCAATGAACGAAACTCGCAAAGCTTTCATCAAATTTGGTAGAAATTCACTCATCTCCTTTCCCCGTTTTTAGACATGAACCAACACTACTCGTCTTCCTCGAAACCAAAGCAACTGGTTGACCTGCTTTTTGGACAGTACATTGTGAAGAAAGCTGGAGATTTCCTTAGTACCAAAGACGAGAAATTCGCGCTTCACCACCTTGCCACATCCGCCTAGCTTTCTTTTCCTCCCCAAGTTTGGCCTTCCGATTTTCTTCTATTAGAAAGGCTTCCCGAAGTATCGCATCATTCTGATATCTATACCGCCGTCTGAGGACTTTGCGGGGGTCAGGGCCATATATAAGGACCTCTTTTGAACATCGAAGGCCATCATCAAAAGGTCGATCTTGTCATGGTCTATTAGTCTTTCTGTTTGAGGTATTATGAAAATGCTATGGAATACTTTTTTTTCTATACGTGCGTTTCTTTCCAATTCCCTTATATTGAGCTTATTATTTTGCGAAATATCCTTCAGATGAAATACCGTGAGCTTGAATACGTTGTGATACAAATTTATAAATTTAGGGGTAGAAGGCAACTTGATAGCCTTTTGAATGGCTATCAAAAGGCTCCTGTGCATCTTGACGCTAACCGTGGCGAGTCCAGTTAAAGGGAAAATTTCATACCATTCCGTTGGTAGAGGTAAGGGCCTTTTCGGCCAAGGCCTCATTTACAAATGTTACAAACCCGAACGCATGTGAGCGTCTACTGTCGCGGTCATAAATCAGCTTGAAAGATTCGACATTACCATATGGCTCGTAGATATCTTCAAGAGTTTTCTCCGTGGTATACATGGAGAGACCAAAGATACCCAGCACATTCGAAATCGGTCCAGTGTAGGCGGATTCGTTCTTCCGGATTTCCGCCATCTCACCTTCAGCTTCAATTTGGGTATCAAATTCCGGTCACTCATTCCAAGTAGACTGAGTCTCGCTAAATTCGTATCGCATGAAGAGCTTCATAATGCATCGGGTAAGCTTCCTCTTCACTGGCAAGCATTCCAAAAAGGTAATTTAGGTAAAATTTAGCGCTAAATTTCAATTTTTTAAGTGGATTGGGAGCACTCCAATGAAACCTGTCTTTCATTGCAATTCGCTAATATGTCCGCTAACTACGCTCAAAATGATATCTATTTATATCATACCCATTTAAAAGTAATTGAATCAAAATATAAATGTCTCTTTTTGAAGTTGCCCAGTATGATGACCTTTCTGTTGTAAGCGCCTTTTTTTGGTCACTTTTTACCTATATTATCCTCGACTTTTTCTTGCAACAAGTTTACTCTCTCTTTTACGGAATATTATATCCTCCTAATAAAAAAAACCCCCTTGATAGTAAGGGTTCACTTGATCAAGATGAAGTTATTCTGCCTTTGCCTTCCGCAATCGGGATTGTTTTTATACAAGCCTTAGCAGGGAAAATTTTTGGAAAATCTCCTTTCAAATCCAGATATTTAACTCCCATTGTTGGATTCCGTGAAATATTTAATTTCCACGCCTGAATTCATCACTAATAAGAATATGGGTTGCGATGAAAAGCATCATTTCAAAAGTCAAAAAAAAATAAACTTAGATTTAAGATGTTATAGGCTATTATTTACTTTATAAGTGCAGACCTGGGCTTCTAGACAGACTGGAAGGGCAAAATGGGAATCAGAGGGAATTAGAGGAAACCAGAGTTGGCAAAATAATTTTTACTATGAAAACATTTTGGCGAAATTAAATAGAATTTTCAATGTCAACTCCGAGCATCCAAATTTTAAACAAGTGTACCCAAAAATGGGCGGGGGAAACATATATAAGGAGAGGTAAAAGGTTGGGTTATTTTTTACTATTTTTATGTTGTAATAAAAACATTAAATCCAGAGGCGAAACAAATCCGTATTTGGGAGCAGCGAGGCAACAAGGTTTTCAAAACGTCGTATTGACCCAAGTTCAAAAGGTGATCCAAAGGGGTGTAGTGGTGTTCTTCCTGTATTTTGGCGGCGAAGACGGAGAATGAAGCTGTCCAGACGGGTTTAATGTTTTAATTACAACATAAAAATAGTAAAAAATAACCCAACCTTTTACCTCTCCTTATATATGTTTCCCCCGCCCATTTTTGGGTACACTTGTTTAAAATTTGGATGCTCGGAGTTGACATTGAAAATTCTATTTAATTTCGCCAAAATGTTTTCATAGTAAAAATTATTTTGCCAACTCTGGTTTCCTCTAATTCCCTCTGATTCCCATTTTGCCCTTCCAGTCTGTCTAGAAGCCCAGGTCTGCACTTATAAAGTAAATAATAGCCTATAACATCTTAAATCTAAGTTTATTTTTTTTTGACTTTTGAAATGATGCTTTTCATCGCAACCCATATTCTTATTAGTGATGAATTCAGGCGTGGAAATTAAATATTTCACGGAATCCAACAATGGGAGTTAAATATCTGGATTTGAAAGGAGATTTTCCAAAAATTTTCCCTGCTAAGGCTTGTATAAAAACAATCCCGATTGCGGAAGGCAAAGGCAGAATAACTTCATCTTGATCAAGTGAACCCTTACTATCAAGGGGGTTTTTTTTATTAG